TATTTTTCCTGTGCCTAGCGTATGTAACCATACGAAATTAAATTGAAGAAATTAAAAAAGCAATTGCACCACCAAAAAGGATATTAGATGAAGTACGTTTTCTGAAATTTGCTGTCCTCTAGGTTTGAAAATAGTAGTTTAGAATCACTATAGTAAGTTTTTCAACTTTGAAAAAAAAACATTTTTCAATAATTATTCAAAAATCGTGAGATGCGGTCTGGTGTGATGTAGGCTTCAGAAAAACATTTTTTTTATCGTGCCAACGTTTCGATCTTTATTGAGGCCTGGGATTTACAAACATTGTTTAAATTTAACATATACATGTAGGATGTGGAAAAAAGTGAATTATTGGCACTCTCAACACGACACGCAAGAATGGCACAATTAAACAGAAGACAAACTCTTTGAGTGAGTAGAAATACTTTGATTGAATATAAAAAATATATTTTGCAGGGACTCCGTACAGACAAGAAAGGCAGAGCCCTCATCGTCTCAAATCACCCCGAGTGCGTGCCAGATCGCATAGAGTTCAGCCGTGTACACGGTGCAGTGCCGCGGGAGTGCCCATGAAGTGGACGAACCCCCGTTATACACGGCGCACGCCACACCTTCGCCGGTCTTGGACCCGTCCGTAAAGACGAGGCGAAAACCAGCGAATTCCGATCTGAGTTCTAAGAACCCAGCTCGGTAGAGGTGCGGCGGTGTACACGACCTGGCTAATACCGCGAGGTCGTCTCGGACGAGTACGGCTGGAAGGACCCAGGACGGTGTCGGTCTGTTACCCAGCCCGAGTACCGACCCCAGTGTCAGTCCCGCCCTCCCGAGGGACTCGCTAAAGCGAATTCCTAGGGGTCGCGTCCGAATTCGAAGTCGCTCGTATACTTGGCTATAATCATTCTGCAAGATCGTGCCCGTCAAGGGGTTGCCCGGCTTGGCCAGGGGGCTAGTTCTAAACGCACCCGATACGGCTCAAGACCCTGATAGTAGAGCCTGTCGAGCCGCAAAAGGAGCGTCTTTCGGGCCGAGGAATAGGCCATACACCCGTAAAACAATCTCGAGCAAAGCAACGCTTCAAATACTTTCAGCAAGGTCTCCCTGTTCGCTCCCCACCTGAAGTGACCAATATGCTTTAAGAGTCCGAGGATTTTTCTGCAGCGGACTTCGACAGCTTCGATATGTGACTGCCACCTTAACTTTTCATCGAATATGAGGCCGAGGAGCCGCACCCTCTCCACGTATCGAACCGGCGCGCCCCCCAGGCAGAGACGAGGTGGGCTATGAGCCCTCCTCAGTCTGCAGAAGTGGACGCCCACGGTCTTAGACGAGGAGAAGGCAAAGCCGGCTTCCTCAGCCCTTGCAGCCACAGCGTTGATCGCCGACTGCATCACCCCGCCGACCTCCGTTAGATCTTTACCAGAATGGTAAAGACAGAGGTCATTACTAATGTTTATAAATTTAGTATTGATCACATCTTATCGGAAATTTAGCGTACTTTTCAATGGTCTCAACGAATTTGTCCAAAACCTTTTAGTTTTGTAGTTATCATTGTTTATTTGAAGCAAAATCGTGAATTCTTAAAAAATCAGAAAAAGTGAAATAACTCTGAAACTGTTGAGATTCGGGCCATAGTTAATTAGGACTTTTGGTTCCATTTTCAATGTAAAATCTGCGGGTAAAGTTTGTAACACGAGTAGCCGAACACCCTGTATATTATTTATGGACCGACAAACATTGAGTTGTCATAGCAACCTTGTATGAAAAATTATAATTTTTCCGTGCACCTTTGTCACTGATTCTCTCTCATATTTTGTCTTCTGGTTTCTTTGCTTGCTTACCTCTCGTAGTTACCTCAGGTTGTACATAATAAACGATATATCATACGTAATAAACAATAAAATTGCAAAATAGTCAGGCGACCTATTGGGCTGGTGCAAATTAATGCAGGTTTTGAAAATTTTTATAAAATAAAGAAAATTTATTCCATATATATGCGAACGCTTTTTAAAGTTTTTATGTTTCCCGTATTATTCCTATGCATCGAGTAGATAAACATACGAAATGAGTTTGATCAAAATTAGTCATTCCAAATATTATAATAATGACGATAATTGAGAGAGTATCATCTATAAATACTTGGGGTGCTATGTCAAGGATAACTGGAACCCTGCATGCGAAATCCGTTGTAGAATGAACAAGCTAGAAATTCCTTCCAGAAAATGAGGAAAGTTTTGACAAACCGGGACTTATCTATCAGGCTTCGTACAATACTTCGATCCTATGTATTCAGTATACTTCTCTATGGGGTTGAAACTTGGACCCTAACAGACAATTATGCTGGAAGCTGGAAGCATTCGAATTGTGGACGTACAGACGAATTCTGAAGATACCTTGGACAGCCAGCGTCACTAATGTGTATAGTAGTAACTGTATTACATCGCATGAATAAAAAACTAGAAATCCTCAATACCATAAAGGGACGAAAATTACAATATTTTGGACACATAATGCGCAATGAGAAATATCATCTGCTGCAGGTTATGCTTCAAGGAAAAATAGATAGGACGCGTGGCCGAGGGCGTTGAAAAACATTCTGGCTTAAGAACTTAAACCAATGGTCCGCAGTGAACACAGCTGAACTATTTAGAATAGCTTTGGATCGAAACCAGTTCAGGCTACTACTAATCGCCAACGTTCTACGAGGACATGGCACTTGAAGAACAAGAAGAAATACAATAATACGTTGATTTAAGAGAATACGTAAGACAACAATAAAATTGTACTTCCTAATAAGAAACTTTAGATCTAGTTATCTTTTGACAATAAATATGAAACAACGTAAATAAATAAAACATGCCTAGGGAAAAGATAAAGTTTTAGTCCAAAATCTAAGCTAAACTATCTTACAATAAGGTTCAGCAAAATTCATTAGAAATATCATAACGACTATAAATAGCATCGTTAACTTCGATAGAAAAATGAAGCAAAATATTTGTTTTCTTTAATATAAAATTGCGTCGACGTTTTTTAAAGCTTTTTTTAGTATTAGCCGATCATTTCTATCTGGCTATCATTGTTTTTTGGGTAGTCAGTCGCATTTCACTATTTTCAGCCTAGGATGATTAATAACGACCAATTTACAGGTCCGTCCAATCATCACCCGCCGTCCCACGGATAAATTTCATAATATTGGGCAGGTGTAGATATACTGTAGGAAGGTTGAAAAGGAATACAAAACTGTTTTTAATTTTTATAAAATAAAGAAAATTTGTTCAGAATATTTTCCATCACAATCTATACATCTTTGCCAACGTGTAATAACGCTTTTATTCCGCTGACATAAAAATCTTTATTTCGACTCACAATAAAGCCTTGGAAGGCGTTGCTTCTCTAAAAATGTTATCTCTCAAGAATTTATCAAAATGTCTAAAAAAGTGGAAGTCTGTAGGCGAGAATTCGGGTGAATATGTAGAGTGCGGTAAGGTTTCATATCCGAAGTTCTTAAGTATTCGCAGGGTTGGCAATGCGACATGTGGCCTGGCCTTATCGCGAAGAAGAATCTTCCCCTTACCGTTTAACCAAAAGACGTTGCAGTTTCCCGTGCATTTTATCAATTTCATGGCAATATTTCTCTACTGAGTGATAGTTTCACCATAATTTAGGAATACAGTGAACACCCCAGCAATACACAAGAAAAAAGTCACCACAACTTTTTATGGGTGCAGATTAGGTTTCGAGAAATGTTTTGACGCTTCATCCTTGTCCAACTGCTGACTTGTACGCCTCCTTATCGAACAGATTCCATTTCTCATCGCACGTAATGATTCGATCGCGAAATGGATCAATTTGGTGGCGCAACAGCAGAGGCGTGTAAAATTCAAAGCGTGGATTTGTTTGGGCTTCGGTTAGTTCGAGCTTCCCTACTTCACCAATTTGCTCCAGATGGTAAATAAGGTTGAGTGGTCATCAGTAAGCTCTTCCGCAATTTCCCGTGTTGGCTCTTCTATCAACGTTTTGAGTTGGTCGTCATCCACAACGGAAGGCCTATCGCCAACTTCCCTGTCTTCGAGATCGAAATCTCCAAGAAGAAATCTATGAAATCATCGCTGTAAAAGTGCTTACCTCCCCCCCCCCAAACTGTATTGGTGTTACGTGCGGTTTGGGTCACACTTCACCCAAGTTTAAATCTAGTTTAGTCCTATTTACTTTCTCAGGTCCTTACTCTTATAAAATTCAACGTAAACTAAAATGATTTGTATAAAAGCTATGACTGCTAAAAGTATTTATTATAATCCATAAATAAGATTTGAGGATTTAGCTTTGTTTGCATGACTAGTACCTGCGAAAATAAAACAAATTTTCAAAACTCGGATTAATTTTGCACCAACCCAGTGCAAAAATCTTGCCAGAAGTATAATAAAAGAGCATATTTGTACATAAAAAAGAACATTATATAATAATCAACTGATAATGAATATACATTGAAATACACTCAAAGACGAAAAACTGGACCCTCGTATTTTATTGTTTATTTCAAACTACGTATGTATTTAATTACAACATATTTATTTAACTTCAGTTATTAAAACTCATGAATTCCTAGAACGCTTCATCTCAATGCGTTATTAAGAGCAAAACCAGGTATTAAATTGTTAGTTAAATTTATTCTATCACGAAATGATTTTCCTGTGTTTTGGTTAATTTTCTTTCAAACCATCATAGTTAAATAAATGTTTTAAAACTCATTAATTTCTGGTCTCTTTTAATTTAATAAGTGTGTTGTAATTAATACAACGATGAAACTAGTACTTCGAAATAAATAACAAAATACGTCCAGTATTTTCATTGTTTTGGTGAGAGGACTTATTTTGTGTTTGAGTACATAAAAAAGTAGGAGGAAAGCATTATTCGCTATTGTCGGACTAGCGATTTTTTTCAATTTGTTGATAAAACTATAAGTAACGTTCCAAGTTTTAAAAGAAGTACATAGAAGGTGAACTCACCCAGGCCCTCTCCACTATCCTGTTAGCAATGATCGAAGTGCTTTCGAACATGTCCTTCCCAGGGCCGGATGCGATGCAGCTGTCCGTTTTGTCTTTGCAGGTGGAGGTCTGAGCATCGCATGGGAGTCCGGACTTTTGGCATTTGGGCCCCTTTATATTAGGCGAGACGTCGCCGAGGTTGGTGGATGCGAAAGCTGCGACAAATGGACCCTGTAAAAAGTTAAAAATGTTAAGTTTCAAAAAATAGGCCGATCATGAGAACAAACCTTGCCGATGAACTTCGTGAACTTCTTGTTTATCCTCTGTTCGAAGAGAACGGAAGCATAGCCGACGTTGTCGCTCGAGACGAGCTTATTGGTGTTGTTCATACTAGTCGGATGAACGGCGAACCACGTGATAACGCCGATGGGCTTGTTTTTGCTCATAAACTTGAGTTGTGTAAATGTCTTGTCAACATCATACGTATATCTAGAATAAAATAAAAACAAAAATGACTATGAATTGAGATAGAGGAAATTTTATCATATCACCTTGCCCTTTCGTCTGCAGGGTTCTGCAGGTAAGCCGTCGGACTTCTGTTGATATTCGCATTGAAAACTTCGCCCCTAGTGACGAAGATTTTTCCTTCAGTGAGACGGCTGTGGGCCCTGGAAATACTCTGGAAAAGATTGTATAAAATCAAATAGCAAATATCTGAGGAGTTTAATTTCGATAATGTTTAACATATAAATTACGTTAGTAAAGTGATAAAAAAATATGGTAAGTAGTAAAAAAAATATAATAGGTATGTATCTTTCAATTAATTAAGGTTTTTAGTTGAGATAAAAAAGTCAATGGCACGAGTGGGATTCAAACCCACGACTTTCGGTGCTGCTCTACCACCTGAGCTATCGTGACTTCGATCCACTCGGACACCAACTTCCCATCGCAACCCCATCTTTTGAATTTGAAAAATGGCAAAAAGGAGGGAAAGTTGGTGTCCGAGTGGATCACGATTGCTCAGGAGGCAGAGCAGCGGCGTATCTAGCCGAAGGTCGTGGGTTCGAATCCCGCTCGTGACATTGACTTTTTTATCTCAACTAAAAACCTTAATTCATTGAAAGATATTAATTGGTCAAGCGGACCACGAAAACTAGTGAATAGGTATGTATAATATAATCTGGCGCAGTCACATTTTTCTAATGCCTCCATCTTCCAATCTTCTTAATTTTTTAATATTATTATTGTTGTATTTAATCTTACAAATTAATCTTTTTATGCAAGGTCTTGGTTGAAATAAAATAGCTAGTGACACGAGCGGGATTCGAACCCACGACCTTCCGCTAAATACGCTGGTGCCCCACCCACTTGAGCTACCATAACTTTGATCCACCCGGACACCAACCCCCATCTCAACCTACAACCTTTCGAATTTTCCCTTCTTTTTGCCATTTTTCAAATGTCGTGTAATCAGGATTCGATTCTCGGCGACATATGAAGTGGCCACGGACATCTTTTAGTAAAGATATACTTCGTTTTACTTATTAAATTCATTATATTTAGTGGTCTGATTGAAAAAATTACTTCTTTCAATTAATTTTTTTATGTAAGGTCTTGGTTGAAATTTCAATTCGAATCCCGCTCGTTACACTAGCTTTTTCATTTCAACCAAAACCATACATAAAAAGATTAATTAATTGAAAAAAGTAATTTGGTCAATCAGACTACTAAATATAATGATTATATTTAATGCCCTATGTGAAAATGTATAATGGTCATATTAAATGTTTGAGTAAAAATTCCACATTCTGACACACAGTACGGTCTGACAAGGACGCCATATTGTTAAACATTCCATTAAAATTTACAAGACGAAAAGATTTATAATAACGACAATAAATAGTAGTATGAAGAAAATTGCTAATTTCATGTATTCAGAGTGTATCTTTGTCCGAAAGAATTCGTCTGTTAAATTCCTTCCTATGCGAAACCTATTCCCGCATCTTTTTATGTAAGGTATTGGTTGAAATTTCAATTCGAATCCAGATCGTGACACTAACTTTTTCATTCCGACCAAAACCTTACATAAAAAGATTAATTAATTGTCACATATTATGTTTGACAGTCCGGAGTAAGAAATGCGATAAAATCCACGTTTGGACGAATCTTCAGTTACAAAGAGGTAGAGAACTTCAATTTTAAGTCTTATAAGTTCAGAAATAGTTTTTAGAATATTGTTCGAATTCGTTGTCCGAAATAATTCGTCTGTTAAATTCCTTCCTACGCGAAACCTATTCACGCTTCGAGTGCCGCTGGGTATTCAGTTCGGGTAAATTGAAATCTATTATTTACTTAAACCGTTTAAAAATTGATGACAACTAAAAAAAATCAAGTCTGTTATTTTCAGCCTTATTTAACATTTTTACGTTTCTACAAGGCTATAACCAAAAAGGAATGTAGACATGTTTATCCTCAGAAAAATCTAATAGAAACTAAACAACATGAAACTTTAAACTTTTATAAAACATTGCAAAGTTTGAAAAACTAATATCAAATATCAGTATCTGTTTGAATTATTGTAGTACCTACGATTATCATAAAGTCACAACAGTAACTTTGTCAGCTGAAAAAAATCATTGGGGTTCTGCAGATAAATAATTACTAGAATATTACTCATGATTTATTAATGTAATTTATATTAACCAAATACGAGATAAGCCTCTTAACATAAACTAATGCTGCAAATATAATATAATCAGGTAGAGACCTGGTTATATTTGAGGGTATATTTGTGGTTTTTTTTCGAAGAACGGTTTTCCATCTTAATGTGGGTCTTGTCGAATTGTTAAGTAAGTTATGTAATTGTTAAATCTTGGATGTAAAAAACTGTTAATATTATCTTTGGCTAAGAAAGTAATTTGAGAAAACAGTGTATGTTAAAAATGATGCCTCACAATAAAATTGTATATTTAAAACATTTAATTTTCAAAACTTGAAATGCTACACAACAAAAACAATTCTGATTAATATGTCAACTATTTTCAACAAATCTTCTGTAAACTTTCTTTTTAAAACATCAAAAATACTGCAAACCGACATCAATATTCTTCGAGACATCTAAAATTATTTATTACATTTAATTATGTAATGGTTAATGTTTCTCTGTAGAAAAAAAATAATTTTCGACAAATATGATTGAAACTTAGACAATGGTCATTTTAAGCCCTTTCCTGACATAGAATGATTAGAAGGAAAACATATTTTTTCATTAAGAAAATTAGCGGAAGTTTTTAAAATCTACATATAACTGATTCAATACCATGACCTTTTGAAAACGTCAAATTAAATGTATTTTAATATTTAAAACAAGCGACTTTTATTTAAAATTTATTTTTTAATCAAAGAGATATAGCCATACTCGATGGTAACCTGCCATCAAGATGCCAGCGCTCCATTCCCTGTCATTCCTTAAATTTTGACTGAAGGAGTTTTCTCCTTCAATTTTTATATCTCTCAAATATGAAACGTTTTTCCTGTTCCCTCTGGGAAAAAGAAGGTATAATTTTGTGTGTGCTTGTGTTACAAAGTATTTTGTTATTGTGGTCATTCGATTGAGTATTATTTGGTAGTGTCAGATAAAGAAAAAACAGTTCTTTCACCACGCTATCTCAAATTTTTCTATTCTCTCGAGCTATTCTTTTAGTGCAATTAATATAATATGTAAAGGGAGAATGAAGCCATAAGTTATATTAAAATTGAAATAATGGATGAGAGTTCAGCAATGTGTGTGTCCAGCTCGTTTTTCATTATAATTAAATTGCTGCTGAGTGAATAATTGTACAGTGGTGAAAGGAAATTAGCTTCAAATTTTATGAAAGGGAATTTCTCTTATATTCTATCATCAGAATGCTGTACCAAAGACCACTTTCCTTTTCTTCAAACTGTTGTTGGAATACCTCTTAGGCATAAATGCCAGATCCCATATTTGTATCATTTCCTACGCTGGCACAAACGTAACTGACAATAACTTCATAAATCCGTCTGAACGAATTATTTGATGCCACAAGCAAACAAGGGTAGTTACACTTTGGGCACCTGTGACCGCGTGGCCTAATCTTGCACCATTAAATGAATTCCGGAGTCGATCCTCTAACCTCTAAAGCAAAGTTCAGTTCTTCGCAGCAGTCGGCCACCCGAGTATAACTTCAGGTCTTTCCGTACTTCCTTCCAACCATTGTTTTCGGGCTATATCGTTTTTAACTTTATTAAAAAGTATTCGTAAACAATCAATCCAAGTGCAATCAAGTATGAATAACTATTTGCACAAGTTAGGAAAAGTAAAAATAGCATTTAGTAGGGTTAATAAATTGTTGAGTTGCCTGGAAACATATCAGGTTAAAAATGCAAAATGAACGACTTTAGAAACGAATCATTCCAGCGTGAGTGGAAAAAAGAAGTCATCCTGCTTTACATGTCGCAAGACGAAGTCATTTTCAATAAGAGCCACTATCACCTCACTTTTTGTGTTTTTTCGAGGAATGGCGTTTTGTCAACTGCTTCCTCGTTTTGCAAACACACGGTTATTATAAACAATACAACTCCCGACTAATACTTTCCAATATAAAAACATAAATCGTTTTTAAACATTCGAATCGAGCTTGTATCTACTCATCCAATCATTCAGAACTTACTCCTTCTTGACTAACCCATCTTCCGAGCCATAGCCCACTTCCTAAGGGGAAAATTACTGGAATACCTTTTAAGACAAAATCCAAATAATATTTCCGAGTTGCTGGTCTCTAGATGGTATCTATCGTCTACAACTTTTTGGAGTTTGAACAAGTATTGCGGCAATATTATTTGTGTTGTGCACTATCAGGATCATTGCTCCTGATCCTGGGGTTTCGCAAGACGGGTTAGTTAATATTTGTAACCAAAACAGTCATGTTGAGAAAGGAGGACAATTTGGGAAGAACAGAAAGATAGACGGTGAATGTATTAAAGTTGTAAATACGTATAAATATTTAGTGATTACCATCTATTTGCGACTATTCCTAGAGATAATTGAAAGAAAAATTAATAATTAATATTTATCTGAAACTTCATGCTATTATAACTGTAAGTAGTGAGAAAAGTATGGTTATGGAGCAGGTGCTGCTAGCACAATGTGCTACTGGCGCACCTGATGGAGTGTGCTGAGACATGACTCCATGGGGTATGATGAGGGTTGTATTTTTTCGTGTGATATCACTGCAGTTGTTGTTTAGGCAAGTGCTCCTGGCACATATACAAACCTTTTCTCACTACTTACACACTACACACATTTTACAATACTCTGTGTATATGTTTTACATCTAGTCATTACGTATGACTTTTAATCCAAGACTTGGACTCAATTAAAAAAATATCAATGCCTTTGTCAGTAAAGCGTTTATTAGTAACTATTTTCATTACAAATTTCACCGAAATCAGTCCCAAATTATAATATAATTATGATTATAAAACCGTTTTAAATCCCTATTCATAAGAGGATGGAACGATGATTGGCTTTTTTGAAAATTTATAAATTATGTAGGTTGGATGACTGTTGGACAAAACAATTTTAATTAATCCATATTTGCTTAGTTGTCATAATGGGCTATAATTATTGGAACAATTTTAATGTTTCATTTTTAAAATCCCAACTAATAAAGAGATATTAAAACATGATTTACGGATTTTTTTGTTTAAGATGTTTTTTAGAAATCTTAAAAATATATGTTTACTAACATGCTATTCATCTTCAGCACACAACAAAATGTTTTTTGTGTACTACCTGCATTACTAGCTGAAATACTAGTATGAAATATGATAGAGCTTCATTTACAAGAAACAAAAAATTTAATTTTAGCTATGCTACATTTGAATGTTATTTATGTGGTTTTAGAAAAAATAGTGCTTTTTAAATTTATTTAAATAAACTTTCAATTCAACGGTTGAACAGCCAAAACAATTAAGTTTTAAGACTTTCATATACAAATCGGCCGATATTAGTTCACCAAGCAACTATTGCGGTTTTGGTTGAAATTGAACTGGCGGATTGAACGGAAAATCAACACAGTTTTTGTCCAAACATTTATTTTCCAATTCTTTTTCATAATTTATTGATTATAAATTACAATAATACTGCCTAAAACTTTCTACTATTGCTGATACACAAATAAAGGTATTTTATCAATTATAAAATTGTTTGTCAAGACTAAAATGGGTATTATAAGTAATTCTATGATGCAAGCCTAAGCATAACACTTTAACATGTATTTTTGTGGCATGTAAATTTTACATGACAACTCACATCAACTCGAGGGTTTCAACAACAGAGGCCATATTCAACCCTCGGGGTATCGGTGTTTTTTAAAAAAATCCCATTTCTAAGCATTTGGATTCGAATGCAGGGCCGCTGGATTCGAACCTTACAGTGATGAGCGCCGTGTCAAAGAATAAATGGTTGCGGCCACCGACGCCCAAATAAACCAGTATTGAGTTTCATAATTATAAAACTAAACATAAATGGCTGCGTAAATTCGTTATGCTCGGCCAACTCATCAATGATCAATTTTAATTTGAATTATATAAACTTACCCTCGTAATTCCGTTTGCGTAGGCTTCGAAAGTATCCCTCACAAATCCATATGTGTTTAAGTCGAAAATAACATCCATTAGGAATCCACCTGGCGTTGAGTGTGTGTGCGTCCCGCTGATCATGACGTTGCCCTCCGTGTACAAATTTTTGTAGTCATTCTTCAATCTTTTGATGACCTGCAAACATAAAACAAAATTAGTTGATTATTTCCAACAGATTTTTCTACTTAGGATTAATGATTATGTTCCATAGGTAGTTGCACACAAAAAATAGGCCTCTTCAATTAATTTCCAATCTCCTTATTACTATTTTTCTTTCTCGTTATTCCTACTTTCAGCTTTCATAAGTAAACATTCTTAATTTGAATTAACGTCTATTAATTCAGAAAGGGCTAATCGATTTAGGCTTGTTTATTTGTTTAAAAATCGAATTGAGGCAACAAAATTCAGACAATTATAACATAGTAATTTTTAAAACATTAATAAGACATTAGTTCTGAAAATTAGGCATCATCAGGTTGCTTAGCTTCTTAGTTCTTGCTAAGCTAACAGCAGCGGTGACGTCCTCTCCTCGAACAATGTTTCTCAGTATGTACTTAATAATTCTCATATGTTTATACGTTTGCCCTACAAATACAACACTGGATTCATATAGACAGGCTCTAATGAAAGGAGTCATCCTAATAGTTAAAGCACGGTTACACATGAAACCTGCTCAACGATAACATCATTAATGAATTCATTCAATTCAATGGAAAATTTGAGTTCAATATAATTAACCATACATAAAAAGTATAGATATGTCATTATAAGTACCAATTATATTTATTTACTAACATTATACTGGTTTTTTTTATTACATACACATACAATATTAAATCTTTTCACAAACGGGAAAATAACATTAAAATCGACAACCATGATGGGGAGGATCGTCGGGGTGTCCGATTTATTCTTTAGTTAATATAAAATAATACAGTACATCCTTACATTGAACTTTATTTTAATTAAATTTGTTACAGCTAATAGATTATCCACGATTGAATAATTGGATGTAAATCCGGCTAGAAATTCCCTAAGCCCACCTTGGTTAGCCCAAACTGATAACTGTTCAATAAAAGACCAGCGTATGATTTTCTAAAAATATTGTTAAATGATACATCTCTGTAATAAGCCACTCCATTACGATTGCCTTTCTTAAAGAAGTCAAAAATGATCGACTCTCTACAACTCGATGGCAATCTACCAGTTTCAAATATATCATTAAACACTTTCAATACATTCTCCAGAATGTTATGCTCAGCATTTTTGCTGTATTTGTAGGAAAACCATTAAGACGAGGTCAACTTTTACACAACTCAACAGACTCCCTAACTCAGAAAAATTTGACCAAACTGTCTTCTATGAGAGGTTCATTAATTTATTTATCATTTTAATTGATACTAAATTAATCTTTCGTGAAAAAAGGAAAAATTTTCAGCAAATACCTCAAACGGACCGTCTGGATGTAGCACATTAAAGCCTGGTGCAAATTTCGGTTCAGTTTTACCAACATCAGAATCATCTCCAATTTTTCTTGTACTGTACGAGGTACTTTTAGGATATGCATAGTAAGTTGAAGAACGTAAAAATTAAACTTTAGGATATTTTAAAATAATTGTTAAACGTGTATTAAAACATTTCACTCTTGTTTTTAATTATTCAAAAGCTTTAGCGTCTTCAAATCCATTTTTGTTTGTTAAAGTTAAAAATTCTTTAAGTTTGTATTGTGGGCAGAAATTTGCTCCAGGCTGCATCAGGTTTTAATGAGCTTCATCACAGTTAATCGATGTTGTTTCATGAAATTGTTGATCAATTTTTCTTACAGTACCATGAGCAATTAATTTACTATTAATTAAAATGATACATTGGTTCTGGGATGAAGAAATTGGAGAAGGTTTCGTTTATCCGTATCTTGCTCTATGAAATTGTTAAGTTCGTATCCGTATCACGTCATCCTGAATATTTAGTAGATCAAAATTTTTTGGCTAATAAGAAGCGAGACAAAAAATAAAAAATTACGTGTCTCGGGATTTTTCAGAAAAAGGTTCCAGTAAAAAAATATATGGCAAACTGCAGTTAAAACTTACCCAATGTGTTAAATATTATGTTACTCTATTTACGATAAGTATTATCATATTAAATATATTTATTACATTTTAAGAACATTAAGAATAAACTCCTCGATTCCGGGGATACTTGATCGAGAAAAAGGTCAATTACTCGTAAGACTATAAATTCTAAGAGTTTATTTAACTTGTCTAAAGTTTAGCGTGAGTGCTATTCTTCACGAAAAGATTTTCATCTTTGTGTAAATCACATAAATGTTCTCGCCAACGCAAAGTAATAAACTGTAATTCAAACTTTGGTTTATAGATTCCGGACCTCGCCCTTTTGGATTACTGAGCATTCTAGATAATTTAAAGTACGTTGTACCATAGGTTTTGTGCTAAGTAAACGGACTTGAAATTGGTGAGGAGAGAAAATATCAGTGTGATAAAACCTCAGGTTATTTAAATTAACCTATATTACGTAATATATTTTCATAACGTTTCAATATAATCGTAAACATCGCAGAGACTTTACATTATTGGTATCAGAATCAATTTTTGAATTTTGGCATATATTGTACAAATTCGTTCAGTTAAATGTTACAATTAAATACTATTAAATTAACTAAAGATGCATTTATTTTTATTTTTGTAATTTGCAAACAAAATAGTTTTAAACTTCCACGGTTATTTTATTATTAATTAATCTTTACGTAAGGTATTGGTAGAAATGAAAAAGCTAGTGTCGCGAGGGGGATTCGAACCCAAGACCTTCAGCAAAATACGCCGCTACTCCACCACTTGAGCTATCGTGAGTTCGATCCACTCGCACACCAACTTCCCATCTCAACATACCTTTCGAACTTTCTCTCCTTTTTGCCATTTTTCAAATTCGTGTAATCAGGATTCGATTCTCGGCGACAAATGAACATAAAGATTAATTAATTGAAAGAAGTTATTTTGTAAATCGGACCACGAAATATAATGGATTATTATTATTATTATTATTCTGTATATTAAGTATCAATTAATCTCTTGAAAAATAAAAAGCATTATAATTTTATCTAAGACACAATCACAATATAATTTGCAAGCAGTTTTGGGTAAGTTATTATTTTTGAATATATGTCAACGAGTGGAATAAATATGGCATATTTTAATTACCATTTTTTGTTTATCAATGTTCGAAAAGGAGTGTTAAAAATGACGTACAAATCTGTAGTTATCCTGTTCTCTGAGAAAAACAGAACCTCCTGGTTAGTGCGGCGTTCTTAATTGATTCCAGATCTAAATTAACTACAAATCCAACTTAATCAACCAAGAGGGCATTAAACAGCACATTGAAGGATCAAGCTTGTATTTGTATCAACCTTGTATTGTCAATTTGTATTGAGAATTTCCCGGCAGTTGGAATTTTGAATAGACAGTTTATAACTTCCAAGCTTGAATAGATTACCTCAACATTTTTATTCCAAAACGGATTTTCGTTGTAATTAATAATAATCTCTCTGTTGGCAAAGGTGCAGCAGTGATATAAAATTAATATAAAAATACGCAGATTTATAAAACAATCGTTGTACACGTGATTTGTACTTTATAAAATCAAAGCCTAATCTTTAGATTTAAGTTAATTATAATTGTTAAAACAACCCGTTTTAATCCGTGGCTTTTAAATGTGTGCAGGTTGAAAAACAAAGGATAATGTTTAAATCTGACCTAGCTTTGGTCGAACTAGGTTGGACTTGTTGTCAGTTGACTTCACGCCTATTTACTACTCTTAATTACACGGAAGAACGGGCAGGGCTGATTGACAAATTTAACAGTTTGTAAATAAAGTACAGCCGACTCGTTTCCCCCCCCCCATAAATTTTGCAGGCGTTAATGATTCTAACGCAGTCATGGCACTGGAATAATTACTCAATGTAACCGAATGACCACATTCTTTTCGGCTTTTCGATCTTTTAAATAAATATACCGGATTTAGTTTTAAATGTAACAATTAGGTTTGTAGGTGAGATGAAAAAGTCGGTGTCAGAGCTCAGGTGGTATAGTAGCGGCGCATCTAGCCGAAGATCGTGGGTTCGAATCCCGCTCGTGACACTGACTTTTTTATCTCAACTAAAAACTTAATTAATTGAAAGATATTAATTGGTCAAGCTAGTTTAGCTAGATATTAATTAGTCAAGGAAAACTAGTGAATTTAAATTTAATTTACGAGAACTGTTAGAAATGAATAAAAACGACGACAGTTGCTAATTGCGCCAAGTTACAATAATTAAATCTGTAATGATAACAGCAATATCTTGGAGATAAAACTCATCATCTAAACGACTGTTAAATTTGGAAAACGAACTCACCTTTATTACATAATCATTAAAAACTCGATTGATTATTTATATTGATCCACACTTAAAGTTAATCATTTTAACAAACATTGTGAAGATTATTGACAGCTCATTATCGACGACACTCCAAATTATTGACGTAGTTCAATATTGAAAAAAATTCAATGGTTATTTGAATTTCCCATTAGCATATTTTTGAAAGTGATGAATATGTCAAATGCATGCATATATTTGAATATTTCTAGCTTTTCAGTATTAAACGTATCGACCACTTTTTCACTCACTAACATTCTAGCGAGCTTTCGACCTATTTAAAGGTCATCATCAAAACAATGTTATATATGTCTACAGATTGACTGCAACAGACCTTGGCAATGTTAGGACTGAGTCTTCAAGAAAAATTGAGATCGCCTCAAAAAAAACTTAATATTTCCATGTGTACACATATTTAAGATTGTTTTGCCCTGATGATGACCTTAGGTCAAAAACTCGGCAGTAACAACTAACTTTACTTTCTTCATCAAGACCATAACTTGATCCAGAGTGTTCGTGAATATTTCTAGAATTCATTTGATGAGACTTTTATTTGTACGTGTAATCGACTCGCTAATAAGAATTAAATTCATCATATTTAAGGACAATGTATATATACAAACAACATTATATCAAAAAAATTATTTTACATAGCACAGGTTGTTTGCTGAATGACAAATATTATTTCCACTGGCCAAAAAGTAATGGATAAATGACGTGTTTGTTACCTTATTACTAATTATACTAATTCTTAATCAATTATGTACTCTTACTGCATCTGCAATCATTAATGTCACAAGGAACATATCGTCCTCACATCCTGGGACTTTATCGGACAAAAAGAATTACCAAGGCGCATGCAATTTGTGAAGTGCAAAATGAAGGTTCAATCGGTCAGATGCGCCTTCAGTATTCGATGGCCCTGAAATACTCCTGTGTAAGCCGGGATTAGTATACTTCCGAACTCGGGTTATCTGACAAGGGTTTCAAACAACTTGACATAATCATCAGGGTGTTGTTTGAGAAAACTCGGATATCTAGACAATATCATATTTACAATTAATATTAAGGAACAAGCCAGAGACTTTGAAAAAGATGGTTTCAAAATTATGAAATATGAAAAATATTACGCAGTAGGGTAAACTTTTCTTTAATCAACCGGAGCCCTGTGCCACAATCACCCGCCAATTCGATTTGCATATGTGAAAAGGGAACGCGTTTTACCCTTCTTATAACCCTGACGTCGTGCCAGTAAGAAATATAGTTTTCTCATTCGAGAGAATTTTTGTAACAATAATTTAATGATATTAAAATGAAAATTGAAAAATTTGTTTGGATGGGTGGAAAAAGTAGTTTTCGTAACAAAAATATACAGTGTCCATTAATTTATTTGTATCTTCAATAGAGTAAATATTAATTGCTTTTATTGTTTACGTTATGTCAAATTTGCTTTATGAGAGCAAATCTTAATTTCTGGAAGAAAATAAATTTTACATATGCCCTCAACACGACACCCAAGAATGACCCACCTACACGGAAAACAAACTCTTTGAGCTCTGAAGATCTCAATAAAGATCGATGGCACGATAAAGAAAATCTTTTTCTAAAACCTACGTCACACTAGAACGCATCTCACTATCTCCGAATAATCATTAACCAACGGTCACTAAACACCACGCATAAATTGTACAGTAGCACCTATTAGTTACATTTTTTATTCCATACAAAATGACCGAAGAGCACGTTTTTCCGATCAACAGCGAGTTGATATGTACGACCGTTTTATTGATTATGGCGGTATTGCGTGTCGTGCAGTCGAGTTGTACTCCCTGAAATTTCCCGATAGCCCCAGCGTAAACCACAAAACGTTTATTCGTGTTGATCGCAATATGAGGAGATAAGGATCAGCTGTTCCATTATCAAGAAACGGGGAGCGTAATTTCGACGAGGAGCTGAATATTTTACTGAATGCTCGCGAAAATTCGAATTCCTCTCTCCGAAATGTTTGAATGTTTTTAGGTTTGTCAAAAATAAAAATCAGAGATGTACTCCTGACTTACAATTTTAAGCCGTGTCGCTCTCATCTTGTCCAGGGACTTCGAAACTCTGTTTATGACAGGTGTCTAGCATTCCTTGCACCAATGTCGATTTAGGAGGCCGAAGAAAACGTTCATCCGTATATTCTATGGACAGATTAATCCAAGTTCATCTCTAATAGCATCCTAAACAGTTGGAATTTTCAAACGTGGGCAGAGCAAAATCCGATAATTTTATACTCTTGTCATATCAGTTGATTCATAGTATCAACGTTTGGTGTGGACTTCTCGGAAATAAATTAATTAGGCCTTATTTTTACGAAAACAATTTAAATGGTGCTCAGTTCCTCAATTTTTTAGGGAGGTTTTACCAACACTGTTAGATGAAGTCCCTCTGCAACAACGACAAAGAATTATTCTTTAGGTTGATGGATGCTCCGCACACAATTCTTTGCAGATGAGAGGGGTGAGACTTTACTTTAATTGTTATTTCCTGGATAGGAGGACATCATGGCCCGATCTGTTGGTCTCCTCGGTCACCCGATTTAACTCCACTTGACTATTTTCTGTGAGGCCATTTAAAAGACAGTGTCTACGCCAATCACAACCTCCTCATCCGCATCCTCATTTGAAGAACTGCAGCAATTAAAATGCTTCTCAATGCATCTCCCCTGACTCTATGAGCACGGTTAAGAGTGGTTACAAAGAGCAAATCTGCATCTTTATTCAAGGCAGGCAGTTCGAACATGAAATGTGATTAATAAATAGCAAACCAAATCACTGTTGTTGTTGTTGTTTTTTTGTGATTTTTTACTTTTTGCCATAACTTTGTCAGGGCCTGAGGTGAACCTGTACAATCTTTTTACAAAAAAGTAAAAAATTTGAAACTAGACTAAACTATATTATACACATTTTTTTTAAATACCGTCATTGGTCGTTGGTCCAAGTGAAATTCAGCCGGGCCATCTAAAAAAGACACCCTGTATAGTTACAAGAGTCATATGGATAGGTGACCTCGGAGAATCTGACTCGTAGAAGGAGAGCCATTCTCACCCGATCGAAGATAGGCCATGCGAGGTTGACCGAACTACGGGAGTTACCAACCCTTCGTTCTACCATTAGTCAGCCCTCATTTGATTGGGCGCATAGCATAGCATCAATATTATACAAGTACCTCTTTTTAAATTCGGTAATGATGGAGGAACGCGGCAATAAAAACAACAAACGTGTAAGGCCTATCCTACCTTTGCACAATGTCAATATAAAGATGGTTAATGAAATTTTCAAGACTGTCATGAGCATTCTCTGTGAGATCTTTGAAGATTTATTTGGACAGAACGACTGTTCGTTCAGAAATATATTACTACTGTTATGAAGCATAATCTATATTGTTTTTCTTTTTATTTACATAGTGTACATAGGTCAGGCTAGTTAGGCATATTTACTACTGAGTCTGGTTTGCATTGCTGCATTTCTGTTAAATTGTGCGCAGTTGGGACAGTTTCCATTTGGTGGCTTTACAATATTGTTATTATGTTTGGAACTGTACACATCGAGTTTACAAGTGGTTACACTGTGAAGTGTTGTGATGAAAATAGTTGCAATTACAGCACCTGACTGTGGATGTGATCAACCACCTTACAATTATTCCAACACACTTCAAATTTCTAGCCAGCATCTGTTTACGTAAGGATGGGATTATTTCTAAAATTAAAAATTTATCTCCATTTTCGTTTTTCCAGATATACTTTAAACCTAAAGTATCGATATCGTGTATAATCGCCTAATTATCTAATGGTTTCCAAAGCACTGCCAACAGTACTCTCCTCCAGAATGTAACATATTTGTTAACTAGGTATTGGATTTTTTATTTTATCATCTCTTAGATTTTTGCTACACATTTATTTTTATTTATTTCGTTACAAAATATGGTATGGTATGGTAAAAAGGATAAAAGGAAGCTTATTGTACGTACCTTCCTACTTCCTTAGTTAAGAAGTTAGAAGTTATGGGTGGAGGTTTCCTCCACCTCATTGCAAAATCTGCAAATGGGATCATCGTTGTATATACCCATGTTGTGTAGATGTTTTCTCAGATGCCAGTGGCCGCTTAGTAGTCCTACCACTCCTCTGAGGTTGCTCCTCTCCAATTGCAGCAATGCTTTTGCCAATCTTGGTGAGGGTTGTTTCATTATAAGTTTACTATGTCTAGCGCCGCTAGAGTTTGTACACTTCGCCTTTTGTTTTGTTTGGATCCATTCTGCGATGGAGAATTCTATCGTATATATGCTTTTAACAAACACTACACCTCTACCTCTACACATTGAGGTCAAGGCTAAAGCACTAACCAGCTGCTATAGATTAATTAGNTTCCACTAACCAAGATTTGTGATTAAAATAGTTACAATTACAGCACCTGGCTGTGGATGTGATCAACCACTAATGGTTTTCAAAGCACTATCAACGTTAATCTTCTCCAGAATGTAACATATTTGTTAACTACGTAATGGTTTTTTTATTTTATCAGCTCTTAAATTGTTACTACATGCTTATATTTATTTATTCCGTTATAAGTATCTCAATGTCATATCTAACAGCACAATCTATTATGACTCCGCCATTAGATCGGTTTTTCACACCATCAACACCAATTTTTAATTGACGAGGATCGAAATGTTTCTTCATCATATTTTTTGTCTCCACACTAGTCTGCTCTTTTTTCGGTCTAATAATTACATTAAATGTAAGTTTAATAATAGATGGTGTCACTGCCAGATTAGTAGATTCGACCGTGGTGGAACAACATTAACCATTTTCTGGTTTAACTCCAAAATACCTTCCGTATTTTTTTAAACATGATTCAAAACTTCTATTGAATGTCGCGTTTCAGCTCATTTTTCAAGTTTCCACTAATTATGTTAGGTGCTGAATGACCTAGCTGCTGATAGCCCCTGGAGCCCAACCTCGGCGGATGCACGGATAAGACCGAAGACTGTCCTCGTGTATGCATTTAATTCATGTGCAGATTACATAAATCAGAAATCAGTAATCACTATAAAAAGATATGAGAGTAAATTCAAACACGTACCGTAAAGGAGTTTTTGACTAAAACTGTTCTTTCTATATGCATAAATATATAATGTATATGATAACTTCAGATTCAGCATTTTGCTTTTCTTTTAATTTTGTAATGGAATAGCTAGTAACGGCTTGCTACCTGTAATAAACGACCTTCGTTTTTTATAATTCGACCAAAAATAGACAAAATCAAAACACGATACTGGTAAGTCAAATTAACAATTAACTAATTTAATTAATTTGTGGGAAAACCGACGTTCCCAGACTTCTCCGGCCTTTACATTAAACCCGGCGTCGTTAAATCGATACCAATTGTTTGAAGTTTCGTGTCAAGCAAACGGAAGGGGTGTAAAGGCAACCCTCCAAGTAATATAGCGGAGATATTGTCTATTTAGCCATGACTCTACCTCTTAGATTACGATTTACATTATCATCCGTATAACCCTGAGAATTGTGGATTACAGGTACAAGTTGGATTCAGAAAATGATCATAATGCCGATGACGACCTTTTCCGTTTTGAAATAAGGGATTATAGAAAATACCTCTTTTCTTAAGTATGTTCCAATCATTCCGCAATCAGCACTGACGAAGACCATTCTCGTCTGGCCGTCGTCGATGATGTAAGAACGCGCGAACTGCCGAAGGTGAAGTCCTTGTCCCTTTTGATCTGGGTGGGCATAACCCATCTGAAAAATAAAAAATTTCAAATAGGAAAAGTAATAGATTACATCTTGCAAAATTCTACATAAAAGGAAAACTTACTTAATTCACTATAAATAATAAAAAAATAATAATAATTTTACTCTTCCAAACCAATAAAAAGTGTAACAAACATGTAACAATACAAATATTATTTCTACTTCGATTCCTGCTGCTAATTAGTAGTTTAAAAAGGTTTTAGGTATTTTAAACTAGTAATTTTCCCTAAGTTTTTAAACGTTGTTCTTATGAGAAAATTTAAATAATGACAATAAATAACAGGTGTGTTCAATTATAATCATGAACTAATTTTCTCAACCACAAAAAGAGATTAATGAATAAAGTGAATGTGAAAAAAGTACTTTGTAAATAAGTTGGTGACACGATTCAACATTTTCTTTTGAATGAACATTTTCAAGCTAAACGACCCTCAGTCAAAAAGTTCTGTCCTGGTATTTTCACATTTATTAGAAAACCTTCCTGTAACCAATTTTCTCAAAATCAGCCATCCAAATTTTCAGCCTGTTTTCCTACTTTGTTGGGAGCCTCAACAGTATTGCATTTTTACGATCATGAGACCGTGGTAGACTTTTTTATTAAAAGAAAAAAGTTTGTTTAATGTTGTGTTTTAATATCTATTAATATATTAATAATTAATATAGTAATGTCAGACTATATTAACTGATCAATAAACCCAGAAATATGATTTCCTTGCTCGCACACCCACTCACTCTCCTCTCTCTCACCCTCTCTCACTCTCTTTCTCTTTCTCTCTCGCTCTTTCTTTCTTACTCTCTCCCTTTCATCTCTCTCTTACTTTCTTACTCTCTTTCTCTCTTTTTCTCTCTACAACTCTCTCAACCCTCACTTTCTACACTTTGCTACTTATTTGTCTTTCCTCAAGCTCCTCAAAGCATGTGGCCTACCGGTGCAGTGCTGGCATTAGTGCTAGTGTTGTGCTGTGTGATATTTCATGCATGTGTACATATTTGTATAGTATACAATTCTGTATAGGTAACAAATAAATAAATTAAATTTAAAAAAAAAAAATTGTCTTTCATTTTTTCTTTCACTAGCTTTATCTATCAGTAGTCTGAATGTAAATAAATAAATCATTGAACTCTGCCACTCTCAAATCTCTCTCTCTCTCTCTCTCTCTCTCTCTCTCTCTCTCTCTCTCTCACACACACACACACACAAACACACATACATACACATTCCCCTTTACCCTTCCGTTTCAATTATGAATCAACCATAAATTTATAAAGATTTAAGGACGGTCGTCTTTTTCGTCATGAATTTTGATAAAGTTTGCAAAGATATATTGAAAAATCAATCCGCTTGCTAATAATATTTTAACCAGCAGGAATTTTCAATGAGATGAACAGGAACATCAGTTTACGTTGTGCTTGATGAGAACACCATGAAATCTGTTTTAATCGGATTTTGAGCTGTTGGTTTACTTAAAAGGTGGCTGTCTAAAAAGGATTAACCGAAAATCTAATTTCGCAAAAACAACGCCGGAATGGCCTCATATAACAATTCCTCCGTTTAATATTGGAAGAAACAGAAATGGAATTGGAAGAGTATTCTCTCACATTACATTATGTTGGTAAAATCATTTCACTTGGGAAATCTGTTCCACTTGTAAATATTCTGCATGAATTTTTAATATAAAATACTTACAAAGGCGACTTCAGCTGGAGGCCCGGTGATATCGGCAATCCCAATGCCTATTTTGTAAGAATGGCATCCTATTGATAGGGCGCTTAAAATGACAAAAGCGAACAATGCCATACCTAGAACAAATAATTTACAATAAAATAATTAAAATAAAAATAAAAAAATGTTCTCAACTCTATGTTGTTCCTGAATGAAAATGTTTTTATCAACGTACATCAGAAACAAACGAGAAAATGAGGAAATGAATTTCTTTACACACATTGAATGAAAAAATAAAATGAAATTATCATGAAATTAACATTAAATCAAGCAAAGTGACTCTTTCACCTTTCATCAAGTAAATGGACTTGCAATTGTAATTTTTATTTCTTTTTTTCAATGTTTTTAGGTCAACGTTAATTTTTTTAACTTAACGACATTAATCTTGATTTCGGCAACGTGATTCAAACATTTTTATTGCCATCCCAGAATTTATAACAATTAATTAAGTATACTCTCTGAAGTACGAAAAAGTGTTACAAATTGTATAGACGACTAGTCTCAACCATCACTTCAATTTTTAAAAAATAACGTCAAGAACTAAAAAAGTGAAAACCCAAGCAAATGTTAATTTATTAATTAATGAACCCTAATTTACGTTGAAAGTAGAAACAAGGAAAACCACACATTATATGTTCTGGATTACACAAAACAAACATTATCGTAGGCGGTTGATGGAAACAGTACAAATTAATTATGAAAACACATACACCAAGTTTTTCTTTAAGAGAGGTTTGAAATAAATAAAATTTATAGAACAAATCATTAGAAAGGAGTTGAAAAAGCTCCGAAGTTAAATATACTGCGAAATTAAAATAATCAAAGGAAAAAACTTCTTTTGGAAAGTGCCTAAGTAACCTAATAAAATCAGTAGTAATGATGCAGAATCCAATTATAACAATTTTTTTGCCCAAAATCATACTCTATTACATGCCGTTAAAATAAATCCATGAATAAATATGGGTTATTTCCATGGAGGAAAATGTAGAAGGAAAAGTCATTGCATTGGCAAAATATTTTCCAATTCTGCGAACGCTAATGTATACAATCTGTTGTAAGAAGCCTTTGAGTACCAAATAAGCCTAAGCCTACTGAATAATCCAGTTAATTAAATCTGCATGTAGACGTACCTATGATACAAGAAAAGGGTCATAAAATATAATTCAATAATTTGAACCTAGCTTTAATCCGACCGTAAAATTATTTTCAATTAAGAGTACTTCAATTTACCGATTTCGTATGGAATTGGTTTGTAACTGACTAGTTCGAAATCAAGAAGCACTTCTGGAATTTTATCTGTTTGCGAATTTGTTAATCTCTTTTATATTTCAAGCTTACACGTTTATTTGTTCCATTTATAAAAACTGACAGAGTGAGATAGACGTCTTATTTCCCTAAATTACTCTGGTCAGGTGGAAATAATTTGTTCCATGCAATTCCATGCATTTCGCAAAATAATTTTATTTGGTGTTCAAATAATAAATTAATAAAATCTGTAAGGAATTGCTTTTTATTTTTCATTTTTTACCTTAGAGTGCAGCAGACTATACAATTATATAGATTCAATTAACGACGTTTATTGGTTTAAAAACTGAAAAGTAAACTATCTAATCTGAAACTTGAAAAAATGTGAAAGTGGCTACTAGTAGATTTTTGTATATATTTCAATTTGTTATTTATCTTTCTCTTCTAAGGTCAAAGCCAAGAGTAGCAAAAAATAAATAAACACGAATTTAGCTGGTATAACTGATAAATAATTTATCTAATAAAACGTTTTAAAGTAAATTTCTAAGTCATGATATTGAAGATAAAGTGAATTGGAAGTGTAGTTAAAAGATTAAATTATACCTATAAACCTATAATTTGGTCGTAACCGATATTTTAGGTTAGCGTTTCGGCCTTTTGCCATCTTCAGTGTGTCTGTACAACAGAAAACCAGCGAGAATAGGTCTATCCTAGCTGAGTTCATGTCAGACGCATTTAACAGAATTTAGAAAATTAAAAATACAAAATTGACTGCTTGCTTAATGAATTTTCGCATAATTTTGATTGTTTATTTTTGTAAAATTTTGAGATTGTTGATGCAAAATCACAAGTTTCAGTTTGTCCCCAGGCGCTTGGGAACGTAATTTCAGCTCTATTTTCTCACAGGAAGTGTGTTTTGCCTGATTCTACCCTTTATTTATTTACCCGTTCGTTATTGGAGCAAAGAAATGAGGAGGGGTTGGCAGAATTGGATGTTTTATGGTCTTAGGCCACTGACTTAATTAAATGTTTTCCCAATTTCTGGTTCGTTATTTATCGATGTTTTACATGATTTTTAAATTACGTTAACAATCGGCTTGAATTAATTGTTTTTTTGAAATTTAGTGTTTTAATTTTTACCATAAACATTTTGTTTAATTTAGAAATATTAAATAATTTCCAGATTTCCGTATAAACAATGGAAAATGAAAATGGTTGAAAATGTTTCACTCTCTGGTAATGAAATATTTGCATCGAGGTTTTGTCAGCGGTGCTTTAAAATTCCTTAGAGAACGGTGTGGTCTACTCTCAGATAGAAAAAGTCTTAATGCATGGCAATGATTATAGGGAAAACCTAAGTGAATATCTGAGAATTGTGCTTAGCCTAATTTAATCTCCATCTCCACATATTTCATATCTTATAATTACGCTTGTTTGTATTTATTAGCAAGAACGTTGGGTGAATGAGTTCGAATGAAAACAAGCCTCTCGACGTATTCAAAGTATTTAAATACCTCGACGGCCTGTTACCTATGTTTTCGTTATTGGTGTGTACGAAAGAGGAGTGGCCATTGGTACAATATTGGGAATGTATGTCTATATTAGTATGAAAGATTGACGATAATCTGCGAGAATGATGATGGATGTATGGGTATGCATGACTGTAGGAACGATGATGGGTTCCATTAGAAAAGAAGAGTACCATAATAGCCCAACACACACTGAGAAAAAATTGGCCACCCTTAACACTTTTAATTATATCTTAGACTATCTTCCATAGTCTATTATGATTGATTTCTTACGACAATATTTGGTCCGTGTTAAAGGATTAGAGGTAAACAAACCACAGATAAAATCTGCCACTTGGGATTATAATTGGATTTAGTAAATAATTCTTTGACTAAATCTCTTCTTTGCTGGTTTTTCCGTAAAGGTTCTTTCTAAAGTTACGGTAGTTTGATTTTTTTTTATCGTACCATTTTTAAGTTTCAAATTTGTTTGAGAGATGGTTTAAAGTGATACAGGTTCGGCTAGAATTATAGCACTGTTGGAAACTTGAAGAAGTCAAACGTATGTAGTGTACTTAACATTCCCAGAACAAACTGTCCATCCATCGCTATAAAGAGATTTTACTCAAGAAAGCTTGGATCAGGTTGCCATCCTCAAAGAGATGATCGTTTTATTGTTACGAATGTACTCCACAATGACTTCTACCGCTGTTCAGATCAAGCAACGACTTGGACAATTTAGAAATGTGAATGTCAGTTTTCGCACTGTAAGGCGAAGATTTTCAGAAGCTGGATTACGTGCGAGAAGACCCCCCAGAACTTCTGGCAAGGCACAGAACAGTTCGGTTCTGTTTCACTTGAAAGTTTCCCAAGAAATCACACCAATTGGTCTAACCAAGATTGCACTAAAATATTGTCTTCGTATAAGTCAAAATTTCGTTTGAGGTCTTCTGACAGCCGAGAGAGGGTTTGGAGAACATTCCCGCAACATTTTAACTCCGGAAAGTGGTCAACAACTGTAAATTTGCTAACTGAAAATGTCTGTGCAAGTTCTCAAACACTTCTGGGATTTTCTGCGACCAAAGCTCGCAGAACATCATCATCTAGGGAAGAAATCCTTCCACGACCTGTTTTGTTTTCAAGGCTAAAGTCTTCCTCTTGAAATTTTTCAAACCTTCTCAACGACGCTCTCCCTCACACTGCATCGCCCTAGAATTTATAATGTTTCTGGCTATTTCAGCACCTTTCTAAGAGAGTTTAAACTCGTAAAGAGGATTAAAAATTGTTGACATTGACAAAAGAATAATAATCCGTCATAAGTAGTTTATTCCTTTTTAAAAAGATAGTTCCTACTCACAGTAAGTTGTTTTTCAACAATACGGATTTCGAGCCCTTTAGCTCATCATCAGATTGAAGCACTTCTCTTCAGGAGACGGTTTTAGAATAGCTTTTAGAAGTACGGGTTCACTTAAAAACATCCTCTCAAAACCTAAAGACAAGGTAGACAACTTGGCAAAAAGCGGGATTTACTAACTCAATTGTAATGATTGTGATATTAAATATATAGGACAAAGCGGTAGAGAAATAAAAACAAGAGTAAAAGAACACTTGCCTAAATCGAGCAAATTTTCGGAATTTAAGGACCATCTAAAAGAAACAAAACATAATTTCAATTCAAATTTAAATTCAACGTTGTTACATAATTTCAACAATGGGAGAGAACTAGATTGGTTTGAGAAATTTGAAATTAAAAAATGTAAAATTGAACATGGTGATAAATGCATTAATAATATAATAGATTTTGATCTACCTCCCATTTTAAATATGTAAATAAATAATTACAATTAATTAAGGTTTTTAGTTGAGATAAAAAAGTCAATGGCACGAGCGGGATTGGAACCCACGACCTTCGGGCCGCTGCTCTACCACTTGAGCTATCGTGACTTCGATCCACTCGGACACCAACTTCCCATCTCAACCCCACCTTTTGAATTTTCCCTCCTTTTTGCCATTTTTCAAATGCCGTGTAATCGGATTGGATTCTCGGCGACAAAGTTGGTCAAGCGGACCACGAAATTAGTGAAATTAAATAATATTAAACGTCCAAATAATTAAATTAATTATTTGTTTTAATTGTTATTATTTTTATAGTAATTTAATAATATTAATTATTTACTATTGCAATATTTATTTGTGTTATAATTTCCGCGTTTCACACGTTCAAATTGAGCGCCATTAAAAAAAAAACCAGCAATCCGTATATATATATAATGCAGGTTTTCATTTTTCTTTCGATTACCGCTCTATGCAATAAACTATTTAATAGAAATGAT